AGCCCCTGTCTGCCTGACTGGCCCCTACTGCAAACCTCAGTAGGGCAGAGACCGCCTGGGGGAGGGAGTGAGGAGACAGAGGCCGGCACTGCAACACTCCTGAGACGGGAGCAAGTCCTATGTGCCCAAGGTCCTAGACCTTGATGATTCCCTGAGACTGAGCCCAGCCCGGAGAGCAGTCCCTGTCTCAGATACCCTTTGGCCAAGTGATGTAGATGCGGGCTTTCTGCCTCCCAGGAAGAGGTGGGAAGAAGAGAAGGGACAGGCCATGGCCACTGAGGCTGGGCTCCTGGAGCTGGTGGCCAGGAAGCTGCAGGAGCCAGCTCAGCTCTGCCCCAACCCTCCCGTCTCCCTATGCCCAGAACAAGGACCTTGCTGCTCCCTGGCTGGCCCTTGGCTCACAAATGGAAATGGCCAAATATGTGAATCAAGCTCCTCCCTGCAGCCTTTGTGTGTGTGTGTGTGTGTGTGTGTGTGTGTGTGTGTGTGTCTGAGAGAGAGGGAGGGAGGAAAGGATTTGTGATTGGGGGAGCTAAAGACAATGTGAAACTGCACAGTATGTTTCTGGGAAGGGGCTGGCAGAGTTGCTAGGTTCTCCGTGAGGCCCACTCTGGGGCCGGCCCACTCTGCCCTGTCTGTTTTATTATTTTTTAAATAAACTGCTGTTTTTATATACCTAGCATCTGTTGTTGGCTTTAGAGCCAAAGGAGAGAAAAAAGGAGCAGGGTCCCAAGGATTGGGAAGCTCAGTGTTCACCCTCCTACCCAACCCCCAACTCAATGGGGCCTTTCTCAGTGACCTCAGTGATGACCTCAGCCAAGGTCATGATGTCTAGAGTCCCCACACAGAGTGGGGGAGGGCACTGATCAGGTGAGCAAGTTGGGGTACCCATCACAGGCAATGGATGCTGGGCAGGAGGTGAGTGACCACCCTTGACCTCCAACACCCTCTCCGCTCTCAGCCCCCTCCCCAGTACTGTGGGGCCACACAGGGCCAGAACCTCCCCTCCCCTCAACATGTGAAGATGACGGTGGACATGTGTGTCCACACCCCCCTCACCCTGTGACCGAGGGCTGTGCTGGCTGGACGGTGGGGTGAGGACTGGCCTTCTGTTCTCTGTGAAATGTTTTAATACGCTCGTCTTGGTTTCCTCACCCCACCTTTCTGGGGTGTCACTGGCTGTCCTGGAATCGCACACACTGTATGTACATACTGCAATGATGTCAAATGTAATTTATTTTAACATTTTTACAATAAAACATGAGATGGACAGGCCAGCCTGGTGTTGTGTTATGGGGGAGAGGGGGCTGGGGTGG